AACTCAAACTTCAAAATAAGTTTAAATCATATGAGAAGAGCTTCAGCCCCACACATTTTACATGATCTAATCCAGAATCTACCATCTCTGTCCCAGGACTCGCTCTTGTTGCAGGAGTAAGCCCAAGCCGTAACGCTCGGCTCTTTCGTAGCCTTGCTTCTTGAAACACTCCCTGGCTCCAGCAAAAAGACCACCAAAAGCAGCTCGGCTATCGCTTTATGAGGGAGCGTCCCGGGTCCAGACTTGGGAGGTCAGATTTGCGCGTTTGATTTTGCCATTGACACATCCAAGGCATTGCAATGGAACTGGCCCGCTGCGGCTGAAAATAGCTCATAATCAATCAACTGGCAGACACATATCTGTGCTCTTAAAACGTATAAATGAGCAATGCAGAGGGCGGATCAATGGGTGACAGGATTCCGAAAGCATCGATACGGACATGCTTTTTGGCATAACAAGCTCTCGCCATCGGCCTGTCCTTATTTCCTGTGCCTCTGTCCGATGGGCCAGCCGGCGTTAGGCCTGCTGGAAAAAATATCTGCAGTGGAGCAAGGTCTGTGAAGGACAACAGAGATAAAGCAGCAGAGGTTTGAACGTCTGCCTTGACTAAATCTACATGCGTAACAGTTTGAGGCAGACGTGAAGGAATGCTGTCAGAAATATAACTTCTCTTTATTTTTAATCAATTATTGATGTAAAGTGAAAGAACTCTAAATCAAACCAATATTTTGTGCGACCGTCAGAACAGCATTGGTTCTGTCAGTTTTTTGAAGAAACTCGGCCTGTAGCTTGTTCCAAACATATTGGAGAACTAATCTTTTGTGGACGTCGGCTGGATCAAATCCTTCTGGGTCTTCATGCGATCATAGACACCTGGCCGATGTTCAGATCAGGAATCTGGGAGGACCAGACCATCATTTTCAGAACTCCATGTCCTTTGTTGCGCTGAACATAGTTCTTTATGACATTGGTTGTGTGTTTGGGGCCCAATCAGTTGCCTCCTTGATAATTTTGAACAATGGATAAATATTTCATTTTCCTAGCCTAAGCCCCGTATCCATTGTAGAAATGCATTACAAATAAGCTACAATCTTTTACAACTTTTAAGTTATTTTGTCCTTTTACATGCATTACAACCTAAGTTTAATCTTTTTTTTAATTGATTTTTGATGATTTTATGTTTTTGGCTATTTCCGTCCGTGTTTCCACTGTTTCACTGTGCAGCCCTTTGGTCAAATGTGTGTTGTTAAGTGTTCTATAAATAAAGTTGAAGTGATTTGAAATATTTTGACATTTGGCCATTTTTTTTAGAACTTAAATGCTTGTGTTTTTATTCATTGTCGAGTCACTTGGTCAAGTTACCATGTAGGAGGTTGTAACTCTTTGGCTATGGAGGACGGAAGGTGACAAAATTAAATAAATGCACAATAATGAAATGTATCATTTAATTATTAAATAAATCGTTAAATCATAAAATAAACAATTGAATTATTAAATACACAAATTATTTCATGATATAATTATTTATTTCATGATTTATTCAATTGTTTAATTTTGTCACATTCCACCCTCGTGTGTCACCATGAAATTAAGTTAACTGTCAGTCTCACTCATCAAACTCAGTGGGCGGGACTAACGCTGAGCAGGTGAAATCCATTGCTTCGGTCTGATGTAAAAAGGTTGCATCCAAATACACGTAAACACAATTACCGCTTCCTAAAGTTTTTTTTCTGAATAAATCTTCTGGCCTATCGATTATCTGTGGTCGATTTGTCTTCGCCTGCTGTGAGGAGAAGCCAATCAGGTGTCAGAGCTAGGGTTAGTCCCGCCCACTAAGTCTGGTGAGTGAGGCTGACAGTTAACATAATTTCGTGGTGTCACAGGAGGGTGGAAGGCGACAAAATTAAATGAATAAATAAATAAATCATGAAATAATTTATTTTAAAGATACATTTCATTATTTAATGGTGTATTTAATAATTGAATTGTATATTTAATGATTTAATGATACATTTAATTGTTACGCATGTATTATGTATTTATTTATTTCATTTTGTCACATTCTGTCCTCCATATTTGGTTGTAGTTCTCCATTAAAACAGCCAGTTCTTCTGGCCAGACATCTCCAGAGTGGACGGGTGTACCTGGATCCATAAGGTATACTAGCTCTGAGCTGATGGCACAACTGGACGTCTTATGATTCCAAAGGGAAATCTTCATTAAGTTTCTTAAGCCAATCACTGTCTGCGGTATACAACATTTCTCTTGAACATTGGTCATTGAACAGCTTGATCAGCCCTTATCGAAGCCTGGTCTGCTTTGAAGTGTTTGCCTGGGAGAGACCATGCAGATGTAGCGTGACTAACCTGTATCTTGTTGCTGTGCTTGGTCTTCCTGTAATATGAAACCTGAGACGTGAGGCGATCTCCCACAATCTCACCTTGATAGCGACATTCTTCACCCAGTTTTAGCCCTTCCACCCAGCTGTTTCAGTTTCTGTTACTGCGTTTTAACCTACATATGAAAATGACGACCTGTTTGATCAAACAAGTCAGTCGTGCGCCTGAATGTGATCATATTAAATCCTAGATTTTATGAAACCATACGATTTATAAACTGGTAATAAAAGAAACTAGGATTTGACATTGTGAAAGCATTTTTTACTTCACAGCATTTTTCACGCCGGCCTAAAACCCTTGCATAGTACTGTACATCCAGCACACTTTTGTCAAGTGCGATAGGTTTTGTGGTTTTATGACGGATCATTTTTGACTGTTTGTGTGTAAAACAGCTGACTCCCAATCTGTTCCTCCTGTACACCCCCTTTCATGTAGGCCAACTTCCTCTTTAATTTACTCTGAGTGACTGAAAGCAGCTTTATCACCTTCACGATCTATAGACAACTATACAAACACAAACATTCAATAAAAGGGACTAGAAATATGGTATTAAAAGAGAAGCAACCACCAACAACGAACGGTACGGACTCAGAGAAAAACATTTTCTTTAACTTGTTAAACTTTGCTCCCTTCCTTTTACCCCACTTGGCTGCTGAGGTCGTCTACCAGTGTTTCCAGTCAGAGTAGGTGAGTGGTCGTAACAACAATGGGTGTTCGTGTATTTATATGTGGCGCTACACACAGACCAGTCTGCTGCCAGGTAGGACAAAGTTTCTGTAAATGTCCTTCATTCACAGAGTTGATTCACAGGTTAAAAAACTGAAAGAGGAAGCAAGTGAGAGGCCGCGCAGTCAGACGATCTCCAGACTTCAGTCTAAACACACAAACACAGCAGGTATTTGGTTGCTGTGGCTTTTTTTTTATTAACTAACAGACATATTTCATACATGTGGATGTCTAAAAGAAAACAAGAAAAGGCACTAAGCACAAAAAGTAGCAACTTAAACTCCCATTTAAGTAAATAAGACTCCAGCATTTCAGAGCTGATCTCACGTGACATCTTTAAATGATCATTTCTGACCTAAAGCAAAACGATGAAGCATCAGTCATTTGGAAGAATTTTGGGTTTACAAGAGCAGATGTAGGACAGACAGCAGAGCGACCGAGTTAAAATAAACAGTGTGCACACCTGAAAACTCCCAATATGCTGTTCTGTTTGAACAATACTCGCTTTTCATTGTCTTCGTTTTACTCCGTTAATGTTTGCTCATGTCACGAGACAAAGAAGCCGTGTTATCAGCCCTCCAGATAGTGGTGATTTTTAGTTACAATGCAGAATACTCCTCCAGATTTCAACATTCAGAGGACTGCTGCATTTATGGTGCTGTAAAAAGACAGCAATAAAGATCTGAAATCTTTACGACAGCAGAAAATTATGTGATGTCATCGTGATCCTGGAATACTGACTGCTTTTTTTTTTTTTTTTTTAAACATCTAGTGCACTGATACGGCCTTGGAGTAAGCAAAGACAAACACAGGCCATGGGTTATTCCAGCTCCACCTTACAGATTCATGTGACTTTCCAACCATCACCTGATTTTCCCTTCTCCTTTCTATGGAAGCTGCTAACACGCAGCGAAGACTTGGCTAAAAATATTTTCAAGAAACTAAAAGATTTTTCTGAGAAGAAAATAAAAATGGAGATTAAAAGCTTAAAAACGGGCTTGTTACCACCTAATATTCCTAGTTAGTGATAGTGTGCCTTTGACCGAACCCTCAGAGATAAAGGAAGCTAACCTTTGGGATAGGAGGGGACAACAGACGGGGGGGAGGGGGGCTGCAGGAGAAGAGCGCTGTAATCAGCGAGTCACTTTGCATGTCCAAACTTCCTTTTACAGGCAACAGAAGGGCCCTTTACAGAGTCCGAGGTACTGAACGAGCCTTCCAAACAGTCTGGGGCACCAAGCAAAGAGTCATCAATGTCTGCACCTTGGCTCACCGCTGTTATCAGCGTTTCCCAACAACCGGTATCTAAAGTACGACTTTATTAAGAAAAGCTTTGCAGCCGCAAAGGTCTAAGAGAAGTCACGGCTCTCAAAGTTCTGTCCAGCCATAGAAACGTTGTAAAACATCAATATTGTCCCAAGAATTTAAATATTTCCTTCAACTGAGGCACCATTACACCATCATCGCATTACTACAGTGTTTACTGCAGTTTTCCATCAATACAACAGTTTGAATGAGTTCAGCGCTTTCGGTTCAGGTCACACCAAGTTTTGCATATCGCCATGGAGACGTGTCAAACACACCGGCGTGAGGAGATATATGTATGATTTTCCAAAGGATGGCTGCAATTGTTGCTCAACTTGCCACACCCAGAGCAAACATATCTCAGCCATATTCATATATGACCTGACACCAGCACACACTGCAAAGCTTTAACCTCAAACAGGACCCAGAGAGGACAAACAAAGCAAGGGCATAAACCTGGAGAAGTTGAAACACAAACCGTCCTACTTTTTTGCCCCTAAACAGCACAGAAAAACCCAAAAGCCCCAAAGCAAGAATGCAAAAATAGGTGTTGTTTAAAATATGGACTTACTATTGTGCGCAGTCGATGAGCTGGTATTCATTGGACCTCTCGAAGCAAGCTTTCACTCCTTCATCGTCCCACAGCTTCTTTGCGTGATCAAAGAACTCCTGAAAAAATAAAAATACATTAACAAATGCACTAATAAGTATTACGCGTGCATGAATTTAACCTGAACCCTTATTTCAAACTCAGAAAATGTATTGCTGTGCATTAAAATTCATTCCAGTGATCCCGTCAGTGTGCTCTGTGGTACGAAGAGCTCACTGCACACTTTGAGGAAGAAGAGCAACCAGATGGAAAGTTCAGTCAAGTCAAACCTTTTAGTGTAGAGTGGATCTTTTACTTTGTACTGAGAAGAGTCTCAAATTCATCCCAGCACAATAATCCGATAATATTTTTAATCAAAACCACCAAAAACACAGTGCCAATATGATGATTGTCAACCAAACAGACTAAAGACTAGGGGTGCACCGATTGCAGATTTCTGGCCGATCACCGATTTCTAAAAAGCCTGACCTGCCGATTCTGATTTTGTTTTATTCAATTCAATTTAAAAATACTTTATTAATCCCAAAGGGAAATTAAATGGTGTAGCTCATCATTCTGGTTTCATTAGAGCTGTTATAGATGCTGATGGCCGTGGGCAGGAAGGATCTCTTGTAGTGGTCCGTCTTAGAGCAGATCTGTGGAAACTGGCTGCAGATGTTGATCTGTCTACTTGGACTTGGTGGATTTCATGGTCTTCTTGGGCAGCAGGACCACCTGAATCTTGGGCAGAGCTCCTCCCTGAGCGATGGCCACTCCTCCCAGCAGCTCATCGAGCTTCTCGTCATTGCGAGACAGCCAGCTGCAGGTGTCAGGGGATGATCCTGGGCTTCTTGTAGTCACGAGCCGCTTTTCCCACCAGCTCCAGAATCTCAGCGGTCAGGTACTCAATCACCTCGGCCAGGTAGACGGGATGCGTCTATGGCACCTCCTTTTTAACAATTTATGATTTGGGGCTGTAACTGAGGTATTATTTGAGCTTTTGAGATGTTAATCAGCTGCTCCCAATTGTAAAAACCACCTTGTTGTCATGGTTACGCATCATAACAAATGTCCAAAAGCAAAAAGATTTCAGTAAAAATCCTTCAAGATGCACAGCATCTGATATCAGAGGAAATAATGATCCAAAAAATTAGATTTACATCCAGAACAAAGAGGAATTAAAGTTTTCAAAAGCAACATCCCAGAATGAAAGTAACAGAGCTACTCCAACATGCAGCAACCTTTAACAGCGCAAATAAGTAAGCGACAAGTATTTTATAAGCAACACTGTAAGGTGTTACAAGGTCACAATGCACCTTCAATTTTCCAATCTTATTTTATTGAAAAACATACACTTGAACAATACAAACTCATGTTCGTGCTGCTGTTCGACGTATTGTTTTTATGCTATTAGTGCTTGGTGTATTTTTAGTTGATGTTTCTTAGTTCATATCTTAGATCTTAGTACTGTTTTTCTTTTACATTATTGTTGGATGTAACTGGGACCCTGTGTACATAATTTCGCTCCACCACATGTACCACATGTGGTGCAAACGACAATAAAGAATCTGTGAATCTGAAAATCCTAGAAATAATACTAACTTGTTTTAACTGGCCGTGAGGTAGTGCTCTGAAATATAATGTAATGCCTTCTCTATTCATGCGTTGTAATTTATACTCGGATGACTCGTTAAAGGAGGAACGTTTTTATTTTTAATCTGTTGTTGTAGGCCACAGCCACCCGAACCAAGACAACAACTTTTTCCCGGGCGTTTTCCCCCTCATAAACACTCCCCTCCCTCTTTTTATGAACCCAACTACAGAACTGCTGTAGGAACATGAATATAGATAGAAATGTCATTGGAACAGTCCAACTACGGAACATGCTACAATAAACAAAGTTTAGACAATTGTTAAAACTACAAAATATTCTGTAAAATCGGTTTCTCATTCCAAGTATTGGCCGATCTCTGATCTCACAAAATTAAGAAAATCTGGGCCAATAAATTGGCTGGCCGATTTATTGGTGCACCCCTACTAAAGACCATTTGTCCTTTTTACCGTTTTTTTTTTTTTTTTGGTGTGTGTGTGTGAAAACAGATGTTTAAACTTTTGGTTTCTAAAAATACAAGACAGAGTAAATGTTGTGTCATACTTTATAATAACATCCCATAATACCTTTAAGGTCACAGTACAGCAGAGGTTCATCGATTGTCAGATCACTATTATGAAACCATCAGTTGAAACTTGAACCAGTAGTGATGTTGAACAAAAATAATACATTAAAAAACTGCAGGGGATCGCGGAAACGTTGACGCACCTTTTTTATACAAGTTGTGCTGAAAGATGAACAAACCAAGAAATAGAAAATTTACTTTAGGACCTGTCTGGGCAGACGTACGTGCAAAGGAACAGATCATTGAACCACAAACTAAACTTTCAGGCGTTCACTGTTCAGCTCGTACGACACACCTCAGCAAGAACCGACTCTTGGTGGCAACGTCTTGCTTAAGCAGAACGACGAGCAAAAGCCAAAAAGGATGATAAAATAGTTTGGTCGACAGATGTTCTAGATAAATGATAAGGACTGGGGATCCAAAACATTTTAAAGATTAATTTTATCCACCAAATCAAATAAAACCCAAACCTCAACTCCATACTGAACAATAAAGTATATACTTTAATGCACATGCTTTATTATGCCTAATTTATGATAATGTTATATAAAAACTGAAATATTTTATTAGATCCTTTAAATTTGGTATAAACCATGACGCTAACCACTTCTACTTCCTCAGGTGACTTCCTGTTCCTGGACCAAGGATAGCATTATAAGCAGAACTTGTCTCATCAGTGATTATGACATTTCCCAGGACTCTCTGTACGCTCTGAACAGATTCGACTGAACGAACGCTCGTCGTCGTCTCCCGTCGTCCAGCCGGGCTCCTCCACCCTGGCACTGCCACATGACTCTGTGCACTCGACGCTGGCTCTGAATGAGCAGAGGCTGAAAGTTGCCTCGAACCAGAAACAGAAAAGAGGGGAGAAACCTGATAAACGATCACATGCTTTGGGAGACCTCCTCTCGGCAGATCCGGTGATTAAACATGGAGAGAACCCACTGATCCAGAGTGGTGTCACAGAGATATGATAACACGAGCATAAAGATGTTACCAAAGTTACTAAAAAGGATCAATTAAACAACTATAGTTTAATTTTCTGGAACACAACCTCTACAGGCCGTCCCAAACTCACAATTCTAAGACAACCTAGGGCCATGTTTGCTTTCTGTTCCTCCTCACTTGCAGTAAATCTTTAACGCCCGCCTCTACAAATATTAAGAAAATTCAACATCACTGATTACACGCTCCTGCTGACGCAGACACCGAGGGGCTCAGGGTCCTAGGACAGGGTCAGATTGGGATGGTTGGGGTTTGACAACGTGAGGATGAGGAGGTGGAAGGGGAGGCAAAGAGAAGTGGGGTGGGGGAGTATGGTCCTCAGGGCTCTTTTCCACAGAAGCGTGTGACACAAGACTTTTCAATAAATGTAGTGTGTGCTGCAGTGCCCTACAGAGAATTGATAACACACAAAGACACCAGGAGGGAATTTGCTTTAACAAAAGTTTTTTTTCCCCTTTTAACTCTTTCCTGCAACTCCTCGGTCTGTGTCCACATCAGCCGGAAGATGCTAATTTTCTATTGGCTCTTTCAGAACCGGTCGTCTTAGTTTATTCAAGCCCAAGGTTGTGATGTAATGTCAATAGTCATATGAGATGGAACAAAACGACCTACATTTTGTTCAACTTATCAAAACAATTCTGTGGCGCAAACAGTTCACATCTTCAATACAAAGATCCTTTAGCCAGGTCCTCTAGAAATCTTCGGCCTTAAATATCCAGCAACCGTCCCCCACCACCCCCTTCAGTATACCAGTATCACCTCATGCACTGAATCAGTATTAGATAACAGTCACCCGACCCAACAAGTACTGACTTTCATGGGTTATTTCAATCAAAGAGTATAAATTTAGATTAAAGAGAGCAAAAAGGGAACGGGAGAGCTGGCGACTGTCCAGAACTTTTAATCTTTTATAATACGGTTCTAAAAAAAGAAACAGATTGGTCCTCGAGCCACTTTCCACCCCAAAACAGGAATCCTGAAGTGTTTAATTAAGGTCAAATTTCGTAGAAGATCGTTCAGAAAACTGGATATAATATGAAGCTCGCCAATAACAACTTCTGTAACACAACTATAAATAAATATGTCACATTCTTCTATGGTTACAATACAATAAAGATGTTTTTTTTGTATTTTACTCAATTCGAAGAGGAATACTGAGCATGTAGTTCAACACGTCTGAAAAAGAAAGAGAGCATGAAGCAAAACGGGGGCCAAGGCTCATTTGAATTTGCTTCCCTTCAGTTGACAGACACCGTTGAGTGGCTAATGTTGCTACAGCATTGGCATTTGTTTCCATTTGCATAGAAGACCGTTTGCATCGGTGCTTTCTGCTCCACGAGTCAACTGTTGTCCCAAACTAGAGGAGCGTTGCTCGTACATGAGAGGCCATCAGAACTCAACATGGCAAATTAAAATACACCCAAAATACAAAAATATACCGTATTTTTTGGCCTATAAGTTGCTGTTTTTTGCATAATTGACATGCCCTGCGATTTATACGCTGAAGCGATGCATTTATAGATTTTTTTCCCATATTTATAAACCAATTTTTGGCTGAGATGTGATCGTTTTCATTCATTCTGACTGAAAATATTGAACAACTACCATTTTCAGCTGCTAGATGGTACTCGAGTATTATGGCATGCCGTTGTGTCATGTAATAGGTAAAAGTGGCTATTAATGTCACAATCGGCTTGCCATAGGAGCCACTTTCATCCATCTTGCTTGGAGCAACCGTCAAATCAGCTTCATTTCGCTGTGCCACCCAGGCGAAATGCAGGTGATTTGACCATTGAAGTGCATTTATTAAGTAAAAGTTCAACTGAGACACACCTTTACTATAAGGTCGCGCAAACAAATAATTGTTTTTAAATGTTAATCTTGTTAAGTTCTTATTAGTCCTCCCATGCATGCTCCCGCAGCCACCATTTGGCAGCTAATCGAATTTTGGCACAACGCTGGCCCACATTTCCAGGTTGTCAGCGGTGACACGTAACAAACACGACGCCTCAGAGGTGAGGCATTATAGATGCGACTTTTATATGGTGAAGCGACGCATTTATGTTTTTTCCCACTTTATTAGACATATTTGGACTGATGCGACTTTAGGACGGTGCGACGTGCATGGCTGAAAATCTACACCCTGAAACCCACTGGCAGGGCAGCTTGCAGGTTAAATCTTAAATTCTGAACTGCCCGTGACTCAGCAAGCCAAAAATACATGATTTGATGGCGGACTAAAATGTAAGATGTCACGTTATGCTACAGCCAAAGCTAACGCTGACCTCACTCGTCCTCCTCAAGGTAGGATTACATTGGGCTCCAACGATTGGAGGCGAGTTTGTGACAGAAAATTTGCAAAAGCGATCAAATATTTCATTGCAGTGTCAAATTCTGAATGTTTGTGACCGATTGTATCCACGTCAGCAGCCACCCACACATTTAGGATTTAATCTACGCTTTAAATGAAGAAAGGTGGATCTCGGCTTTAAGAAGAACCCACGCAAACGTTTTGAAACATTTTGGAGACTCCCTCACAAACGCCAGCCTTAAGCTGTTGTTTAATTTAACAATTATGTGCAAAATTGGGATGTATCCAAATAAATTAATCCAAAGTATAAATCAGGAATATACATATGAACTAAAAATACTTCTAAAATTATTGATACAATAAAAAGTTACATTTTCTAAGCGTAAAATTAGCATTTAATGTAAATGTTCCCCAAAACACTTTTTTTTTAGATTTACTGAACAAAAAGCAACACAATATTAATTGTATGGGTTTCAGTAAGGGCCTAAATGTAATTTTGGAGTCTCCTAATCAAATACTAAAATACTTAAGAAGTTTAGTTAGTTTGGTGTCTAACTTTTCTCCCTCTAAAACCTTCTCATAAAACACGTCATCATCTATCCAGAACTTGTCCATCAATTTATAAATCCATGTTTCCAAACAGCGCCGCGGTTCCTGATGGGACGAGATGCTGAGCGATGTCACCGACGGAACAAGCGAAACCTGAAGCTGACGACGAGCGCAGACAGAACCGAACGGCGCCATGTTGTTCGCTTTCAGCCGAGCCGTGTCAGGGAACTCGACGCAGACCCTCTTCGGAGCCCCGGTCCCTCACACTAAGCAGCATCACCGGTCACATTGGGAAATTAACACCCAGCTGCTGCTAATAAGCGCTCGTGATGTGGCGTCCAATAAAGCTGCTGAAGTTCTAAGGACGGGGGACAAATTAGTTCAATATCATTAACATTGGAAACATCTTGTCCCAAAATAAGCGGGCAATTTGGTCCTTGCTTTTATTACTCCAAGGCTGGATTATTGTAATTCTTTATTTTCTGGGAAAAAAAAAACAACTCTATAAAGTTCAAGTCACCAAAGGTTTTCAGCATCACCAGAAAAACGCATTAGATCCGTCTCTCATCAGAAGGGTCTAAAGGCTCGCTAAGATGGCAACACTGACTGGAAAAACAGTCTATAAAAAGTTATTTAAACTATTATTCAAATTTTTGCAAATTATTTAAAATCACCTGAAGGGCTACTGTCCAGTGATTAAAACAAGTTTCTTCCAGTCGTGTCCTTTTAAAAAAAAAAAAAATCAGTTTTGTTGCTTTTAAAATGATGTCGTTTGAACATGTACAAGTTGTGAATTCTAAAACTACACATTCACTCCATATTCCATTCGCCTTAAACGGCACGCTCATACGTCCGGTTGGTTCCAGTAAAAGCTATCTATAGCTCTGTATCAATGTGTCAATCCTGCTTTGAGGCGCTGCATGGTCAGCGTCGAACAAGGAAGACTTTCAGAATTATGTAAAACATTATCTACGTTTCCAACGCATAACCTCGTGCTATTGACCGATCAGACGCTGAAAAAAATAAATAAATACAAATCATGTATGCTCCAACAGAAGCTTCCCGGACTCCTGGTTTTGTCAATTCCATCGTGAACTTCGACTCCTTAGGCAACTGAGCTCCAGTTTGAGGGGAAAAGACAAATCAAACTGGGAAATAACTGGGTCCGTAGAAGCGAGATTCCAGCTGCGAACCTGAAGCTGTATCTCTAAAATCAGCGTTGCTCGACATAGCTTCAGTTAAAAACAGCAAACCCGTGTTGTCACATGCCATCTAACACCCATGCAGGCACACAATCAACAAGAAAACTCAATTAATCGTTCAAGGAAACACAATCGCAACAGGTTTGAAAGTTGTAAAGCGTCTTACCTGTGGGTAGTCAAAGTCAGAAAGTGGTGCTATGCTTTTGATGTATTCAATTCTGAACTGGTTCTCTGGATTGGCTAGCGGGACCGGAGGTATTAAAGTGCTCATCGCAGACACTATAGTCTACAAAGCAGAAAACAAGAACAGGTATCAGGCAGGATGCAGACAGAAAAGTCTGTAATAGCAGCTGCTTTACCCTGAGCACATTTGAAGGTAGTTTAAATGAAACTCACCACTATGGCATCCTTCACGTTTTTCCGAATGTCTTGTATTTTCTGTTTCTTTTCTCTGCACGGGGACAAATAAAGCCAGGTTATTCATAAACAAATTCAACTTTTACAGTCTTGCATGTTCTTTAGGTCAAATCTAACGCTGAACGAAAGAGTTGAAGAATTCACTTTAAAAAAATATATATTAATTTCTGAAGCTGCTCTTTTATTCTTTAGGTTCAAAATTTGAACATTTTTAAATACGAGCCACAGATTATTCTTTTTACCTCATCCAATGCAGCAGCGACACACCCTCAACTAATTTTGTTTCCCAACCATATACGCTGAATCTAACGTGCGTTACCCAACGTTAGCATCACTGTGACCCAACAAAAGGTTTGTTTTTCTCCTTTAGTTCACAACTAAACCATGAAGGTTCAAATTTAAATTTAAAAATCAAACATGCAGGTCAGAAATGGTTCAGGGAAACGTGCTCGAATGTTTGAGATTAGAAATATGCCCAACTTTGATATCATTATCACCTGCTTCCAAAAGCAATAATCAGTCGACAGATTTTTATGAATGCCCAGAAACTCATAATTGATTACTGATTAACTTTTGTTGTCAACTCCATTCAAGATGGCTGCTACAGCTAATCTATTTTAAACAACACAAAAAGAGCTATAAATCAGTTGATTCTAGATAAGGAGCTAAACTTTGGTGTGGTAGTAGCTGAAAACCATCCCATACATTTGTCTAACTATCGTCAAACCTGGCTGTTAGCAAAATATCTCACGAATCACTGGACATATTTAAGTGAAACTCTCAGTATGTAACTATTGGCTATACATCTATAACTGATTAACTATTGGAGTAAACTTCATTTAACATGGCGACCACAGCTAATCCGCCTTATCGAACACGAAAGCAGCGATAAATGTGTCAGTTTTACAGATAATGAGCTAAGAATTGGTGTGGTGATAGCGGAGAGTCGTCCCCAATATAAACTTTATGGCTAAATGATCTCGCCAATATCGCTCGAGAACCAAAAACTTTTCCCTCTTCGCCACTAGACAATCTCGGTTTAAAACTCTGGCGTTTATTGTTACTAAAATATTTCAGTATCAAGGCCAACTATGAGAAAAAGGTCTGGTAACAATCGTTTTTATTTTTTTTTTATGTTAAACCTTCATGACTAAACCTAATTTCCTGTGTCAATACTTTAAATTTAAGCACACAGAGAGGGCTTCCATGCAGATGCCTGTTTAAAAATCAGACCACAGTTAAGATCAATGCCATGCAAGGCCTTGCAGCAAAACAAAATCATCAATATAGGCCTGTGTCGATCACAACCTTCACCCCCTCACATGCAGCTGGGGGGGGGGGGGGGGACCTGCGTGATTCACACGTAATAATCATAACTACACACAAAAAATAGGAATAAAATTATATATTAGCTGTTTTGCATATAGACTGAGAGCCCAACAGGCTGCTGCTGCAGTGACATGGGTAAAACAGGGGCCTATTCATCCGTTGGGGAAGCCATTAAAATAAAAATAGACATTAAAGTTATTTATTTTATTTTTTTTTGGTGAGCCGTAAAGTGTGTAATAGATGCGCACTCACTCGGCGTTGAAGCCGTTGACGTGTAGAATCCTCATCTGCTTCACAATGGTGCTTTTTCCGGACTCTCCCGCACCTTAAAAAACAAAAAAAATCAAAAATTTAAAAAATACACAAATTCAATCAATAAAACGAATAGTCAAATACACATTTAGGCCGCTATACCGTGGCGCTCCCGTCAATACATCCACCCCCCATGACATATTATTGCTGTCAAACGGGGCTACGTGTTCGGCGGAGGGTTAGCATACATTTTTAGCTAGCCGTCACATCCACACAGCCTTACCCAGCAATAGGAGCCTGTGAGTGGCTTTATACGCCTGTCTTTCCTTCTGTAGCTGCTTTTCTATCTTTTTATTCGCTTCTCGTTGTGCCTTTTCGTCGATGCGTTGATCTTCTGTCTTGCTGTTGCCCAAACAACCCATCTTCCGTCACCCTTCCCTTGGTAAATCGGTTAAAAAAAAATGTATATACGCGTCTATTAAAAAAAACAACGAAATGATGCTGCGCTTTAAAAAGTAATTATAAACGACGGGATGGCTGTGCTGTAAAATACAATTTAAAAAAAAGGGGGTAGGGGGAAGAGGAGAGAGGGGAAAAAAATAAAAAAAGAAAATCTCTGCGAGGCTTCTTCTTCTTCTCGGTCGGAGGGAGGAATACGTTTCCCCCCCGCTTCATCCGCGGCCAACCGTCATCCGAACCGACGAAGAAGCGTAAAAAAATAAAAATAAAAGGGAGAGAGAAAAAGAGGAGGGGGGGATTTTTTTAATTTCTGGGAATCCAGTCAACTGTTCCTCTCGCGTCTCCAGCCCCTCTCCTCTCTCGGTGCTTTTTTTCCCCCTATCTGAATTTCTATCAGTATTTCTGTCTCTTGAACTCAGCACTGCCTCTCGCTGTGGCACCAGGAAGTAGCCGCGGACCGCGGAGGTGGAAAACAGACCTCCGTTAAACTGTAACAACCAGCCGGAGCCATTACAGATGTAGTCCTTTCATATTTAGGTGTTGAACTAAATCTGTAAATAAAGAAATAACATTAAAACGGGGGGGTCGGAAGCTCAACCGCCTCCGTGCTCGAGTAAAGAGGGGCTGGGCTTCCATGGCCGGACTAACTCCAGACAGTCTCCGTGTAATTACTGGATTTAAAAACACATTTTATGCACCTTAAACACTCTCATATTAAACGTTTTATCGTGGTATATAGTATTTGTTTTAATGGTACTTTTTTTATATTTAAAGCTCGTTGAATAAAATTCACAAAGTTCATCATGAAATCAGGGGCGCTACAACAGAGGGGGGCTGGGGAGGGCACTTGCTCTCCCACCCTTTGGCCACCCTGGCCAAGAAACTTTATATGCCAAAATATTTTGTGAAATACAGAACAGATTTTAATTAAACTCTTTTAGAGTAACACTTATTACTATTATTACTATTGTTACTATTTTTATTATTACTATTATTAGTAGTAGTAGGGGTGTAGATAAATCGGCCGGCCCCGATTTCCTTAATTTTGGGAAATGGGAGATCGGCCGATACTTACATGAGAAACCGATTTTACAGATTTTTTTTTGTTGGTAGTTTTAACAACTACTGTATTGTCTAAACTTCATTTATATTTCAGAGCACTACCCACGGCCAGTTAAAACAAGTTTGTATTGTTTCTAGGATGTTGTTCAAGGGTATGTTTTTCAACGAAATAAGATTGGAAAATTGAAGGTGCATTGTGACCTTATAACACCTGACAGTGTCGCTTATAAAACAAAATCGGTATCGGCCAAAATCGGAATCGGCAGGTCAGACTTTTTAGAGATTGGTGATTGGCCAGAAAACTACAATCGGTGCACACTTACTTATTAGACATCTACTACGTACCTTCTACTTATATCTACTTCTCATTACTACTCAGGACTTTTCTGTCTACTACCCTCAGGCAGACGATACATGAGCCTCCCATCGCGCAAGAAAAGACTCATAGACAGTTATTACCATACCATGCCATACCATTATTACCCACAAGCTGTCAGATTACTGAACTCTTGATAATAATACCAAACAGTTGACAATAGCTTTGCATTAAGCCACATCTGTGACACATATTATGTTTATTGCTGCTGCACTATGTGGCTGTATCATGTATGTCACTACCTTCATAATTCAATTAATCTCAATGTTGCTCACTACCTGTGCAATAACCTGTCACACAACATGTGTAGTATATGTTAGTTATGTACAATATATATCATGTGCATTTAAGCTTATATTACTACCTGTGAAATACTTGTTCATACAAATTCATCCTACTTGCACTGTTATATTCTACCATGTTGTTGTTCACTATCATTCTTTTGGACCTTATAAATATTTTGGTACTTTATTTTGTACCTGTATCACATGCTTTAGTATTTCTTGTTAGTTTGTCTTTTTGTTTTTAGCGAGTCGAATCAGTTCTTCTCATCCTGAATGTTTCTTTGCATTGTTGACCCTGTGTTAACCTGCATATATACAACATATATCATTAAAGTGCCCGTGACATCAAGCGTTTGTAATAAATATGAATGTATTTTTGGAAAGATAACATTAATAAGGTATTGCAAAGTAAATTTAAGCCGCTGAGATGAACAGCTGTATTTGCATGTGCAATAACTGGAAATGATGACAAAGATGAACGCCTGCATGTAAACAGAGCACCGCTACACAGGCAGTGGAGAAGAATCTGACGGGTTTTTTAATTATTATTTAGTCACTATCAGAGGGAGACAAAAAAGAGTCGGAGTTCAAATCGTATTATTTCAATAAACAAAGATCAGGGAGTTCCCCATTTTTCAAAAGTTCCCCTTTGATGTCACTTCCTGTTTTACTTTGGTTGCGCCAAGGTCAAAAGAAAATCTGCCAGTTGGGTGACAAAATGGGTAAAATTGTGCCAAATGTCTTTAATATTAAGATGTTTTCTTTCACGTTTTGTATAGGGTATGCATGATAGGCACTTCAACTTTGGAGTCAACCACATTTACGATGGATGCTACAGCTAATCGAGGTTAGCCAAAACAAAAAATGGCCGTAACTCAGTCATTTGTTCAGGTACTGAGCTATAATTTAGTGTGGTGATAGCTGACAGTCATCCCCCAATTCCCCTGCGAGAACAAAGAGCTACGAGATCTGTCTTTTAAATTTTTGGGGTTAACTATTTGGAGTTGACCCTTTCCATTTGTTAGCAAAATATCACATGAACCACTGGACAAACTTTAAAGAAACTTGTAGAAAGGAAACAAATGTACTCCTCAGGAACTTTTGGAGCCAACGCATTTCAAGATGGCTGCCAAGGCCAACTGACCTTACAAAACACAAGCATGGGTAGGATTCAGTCAGTTTCACAAATACTGAGAGCTGAGAGTCATCCACCACACGTCTGAGCAAAACTTTCACAAAAACATAAATCAAAAAATTTATAAATACGGCTCTACAGTTGGTTAACTTTGGCACAAAAATGGTACAACGGTACAGATGTTGAGCTTCAATTCTATGTGGTAGTAGCTGAGAGTTGTTCGCAACAAATATCACGTGATATCCTGTGATATTGCTTAAGATTACCCATAACATTATTTATAATGTTTAACCTAAACAGCCAGTACTGCGGCTTTTCTCAGCACAAGATGATCTCAATCTAAAACTCTTGGATGAAAGACAGTGGGAGATATCCTTCAAGGAATCCTACTTTTAATAATTATATATATTTATTAGACTTTTATATTAAATAGCCAAAGTGTCAATAAGGATCTAAGAACTTGTGTTACTGCTGGAATAGGAACAGGAGGGTTCTGTTTCCAAGCTGAGGTTCTGCTCCTCCTGAATGGTTTGAAACGTGGTTTTAAGGGAGGATGAACGATGTCTGAAAACCAAAATGATGATTTTTACTGGTCTGTCATCTGTTTTTGTGTTCTAACGTTGATCTGTGAACTGCTTTACCTCTTGATAAATATAAGCAATGCATGTACATGTTTTAACATCTTTACTATAAGTTCATAATATAAATAAAATCAAGCTCATTATTTGAGTACTCTTAAATATTCCTAATATTAAAGGTCCTAATATTGTATCTTAGCACACAATATAATAGCATTTCACCATCCCAATGTACCTTCAATTTAAATGCTTCATTGTTAACACTAGGAGTTATTTATTGCAAGAGGCTTATTTTCACTATCCAGATCAATACAAATGCAGGTGTTCAGAAATAATAGAACAATACCATCAGTGGCATTTAGTATAGAAAAGTATTAATGTTTGATAATTTTTTTTTATAAGCACATGCAAGTTAATGTTGCAATAGCACTTAGCATAGAGCCCAATACAATAACCTGGAGGCTAGCGCTAGCATGCTAGCTCCAGAAACAAACAAACAAACTCACTCGAATACACAGTTAGCTGACGATTTTTTCACAAACAGAGACATCTAAAAGTTGAGAGGTATATCAGTCAGAAATGGCAACATAGGCATTAGATAAAGGGCTTTCAATAGCTTAAAGCCTACCTGCAACATTAGCCTGCTTGTGTCACTGCACGATCTGTTCCGGGACCAAAAAAGAAAAGAAAAATCTGTTCTGGTACCGGAAGCACAATCCGTACCGTGCGCCCGTATCCTGGGCGCAGGAGTGGTGCGCCCAGAATCTTCTTATCTCTTGTAATGAAGAGAAGCTAGCTGTGCATGTACAATTTTAACGAGAGTCTATGGGTAAAGATTCTTGCGCCCCCAGAGAGGAAATACGTCACCAATCAGAGATAATGTTTTTGAAAGAAACAGCTTTACTCATCATTAACTATAAACTATTTATCTTACACAACAAAAGATATATACATATATTTCAAAATATTTTTATTTTATTATTTCCTTTTTATTTAATTTTTTTAATTCTTCAAAGTAATATTGTGAGTGGTTGGGCGGCGCCCTAGCACCCTCTATTGACCAGCCGCCACTAAAATAAACTACTACTTACTACTTGTGCTACTATTCCTGCTTCACGGTTTTTCACTTATCGCGGGGCTCCAGGGTGCGGATCCCCCACGATAAACGAGGGACTAATG